CATACCTCTTGGGAAACATGACAAGAAGGTTAGTAAGACATCCCTATGTACTGCGACTATTTCCATTGAAAAATGAACCTTAAGCCTTTAGTGAGATTCTAATGGACACATTGAAATGCTTAGAAAACCAAAGAACAAATAGCATAGGCTATCTTCCAAAAAGAAATATGAAATCTATAGCTAAAAGGAAAAGGATTCCAATAAGTTAGTGTTAGAATGTAATGTAACCTCATCTCAGTGATAAAGGTTTTGCAGCACTACTTTATAAATCCATTTAATTTTAAAAATGGACAAAAGGCCACAAAATTAGATTTAAATGTTAAGTGAAAGTATCGCATCTTATTTAAAGAGGTAATCAAGAATTAATTGATTTTTCGGCAGTAAGTGTCACTAAATAATCAATACACTGCCTTTGTCTCCAGGCAGATTTTTTTCCTCTCGTCTATTTAGATGTCTCCTGAAATGTAAAGAGAAAAATGTTTTTCTCCTGCCTAAATCAAAATGGGGAATCAATGCACAAGATTAGCAAAACGTAATGTACATGTATTACACCTTGCCAGAATTTGGCATATTTCTGCAGCTCCAGACAGAGACGGAACTGGTATTTCAAACTTCCAACGAATCCAAAAATATTCAGTAATAATAAGTGTGAGAGACAATCATCTATGTCTCTTGCTGTTACAAGTTTATTGAACACCTGCAAATAGTCAATTATGGAATTACTGTGTTTGCTATTGCCCATTATTTTGGTCAATTTAGAGATGACCTCAAACATCATGTCTGCTGAAGGTTGGAGCCAGACTGAAAAAGCACGCATAGAATTCCAGCAGGAGTAATAAATAAGATCCAACAAAGTAATTGTATTTAAAAAAAAAAAGATGTATGACTTACGACATGATAAACTGAGATTTCCAGTAAGCTTTTGATCTGAAATTTACTGTAAAATGTTATGGGAATCCATAACAAGTAATGTATGTATATAAACTGAGAATTAATCAATGAACAGGAAACAATGTGTCCTCCTAAGGGGCATAATTGGACATATGTAAACCAGGGTGTGCTGCAGGGACCCTTTTTAGGCCTTTTGGTCTTCCTGGTTCATTCTCAATGATCTAGATTCTGGTATAGTTAACAAATCGGCTACATCTGATACAGGGAAACTAGCAAATAAGAACACCAGCAAAAGAATTAGAAAACTCTTAAAAGAGAAGCATGGATTGGGCAGAAGTGTAGCAAATTAAATTCCACACGGGAAGTAGTAAATATACGATATGATCACATGGGTGATTCTGAGCTGCAAGAAGCGATCTGTGATTTTGTGTTGAGTCAATGCTCTTCCCAAGGCAACGGGGGGAGAGCGATAACAAAGCCAGCTTTGCATCACACCATCTTACAATGCACTGCGACAATGTTACACTATTACAATGCACTGCAGCACTAATGTTCAAAAACTGAAACCATTTAGTGTTCAGGTTTGTAACACAATAAGCAAATAGCCCTATAAAGTGTTCAAAGAGTGACGAGAATGATCCTCAGAATGCACCTCAAGGGAGTCACACATACAGACAAGGTAAGGGAACTAAATCTCTAGAGCAAAAGAGAATGAGAAGAGATCTGATCCAAGGACATAAAATCATAATAAACAGGTTCAGCACAAGGGAGTATTTCACTCTATGTCATGTAACTACTCAGTTGTTCTCAACACATAACTCTTTTTGTGGGTTTCATAGCTCTATTCTCCTGCCATTTCTACTGCTTAACAATTCTTAGATACATAGCATGATAAAAAGACCTGCTTAAATCATTAAGGATTTCAAAATGAAGTGTAATAGAAAAATGTAATTGCCACACACATGCACATTATGTGTTCGAGGTGATTTATATTTAGTTATAAGCCTGTAATTTCAAAACTGTGTTCTTTCATTTTTGTTGCGGAAGATCTTAACACGTGTACAGCATTAGCACCTTACTGTTGAATCTCACAGTCACAGAATGTAATTGATACTGTAATATACTGGGAGTCTGATGGAATAAAGGCAATTTCCTACACAATGCTATTCTTTTAGCAATAACAAAGCCCAAGAGAGATGATTTCCTGTGAGCACTGCCATTATTAAATATTTTCATTACTGTCATTTCCATCACTTTCAGAATTATCATAATGATTACATATAACATTACTTGATGAAGTTATTGTTAAGAAAAGCTTAAAAAGGGTTCTACTAATACCAAGTCATAATGGTCAGAAGTGACATTATGGCTACTTGTACACTGCTGGAATAAGAACCAGAACAAAGATTTACAGAAGTGCTTTTCATCTCTAAAAACACTAATTTTCTTAACCCTATACATGGGTTTATTTTAGTATACCTCAGAATAGAAAATCTCTGTTTTATGAATACATAAAACAACCTCCTTCAAATCATATATTATCTTGTGAAAATCATGGTAACACACTTTCAAGATTGACAGATCTTGTCAAATCATTTTTTTTATTAGTACCCTTTTTGAGTTAGTAGATTGTAACTCAAATCATGTATATTTGTGCAATTACATTTGCAACTTTTGATCCAAAAGCACCTCAGGGGTCCAAGAGACACACGCAGCATGCATAGAAAATTGCCACATCATCTTCAACTGGAACAATGCAAAACAGAGATTAGGCATTAAGAACTTCAGAGGAGACAAAAATCCCCCAGGTGAAAAGAAACACATTTTGCAAAGTGTGTTCCTCATCTCACAAGCACTAAGCAGGTTTTTGTTTATTTGCTCTTCTTCCTACTTCATTAAAAATGAGTCTAACAGCTTTATGACTGATCCCCTGCAATGTTATAACTTTTAATAATAATCACTTCTGCGCAGATCAAAGTCTTGCCTGTCCATAGCTGTACTGTACGTTACTACTCTGAAGTTTCACGTCTGGAAGGTCATCAACTGTTTTTTTTAGAGCTACCTCATTCCTTTTGCATGAAAGAGCTCTAAGGATCCCTGGCCTCCACAGATCTCGACATCTTGATGGAGCACATGTGTGAGAATCCCCAAGCTTTACTAAAAGACAGAGATTTTAGGTGGGATCAATTCAGAAAGACATAGAAAAATCAACCAAACAACAGGTTGTGAAGGGAGAGTATCACTGTGCGCTATTCTAATTACACACAAGATTCCACTAACAACGCAATGCCTTTTTAAGGATGGGTAGAACTAAGCGGATCGTGCCTTACTAAAGATGAAATGGTGATACTCTTGACACAACACATGAGGACACATGCACCTTAAATCTGGTTTACCTCCCTGTTCTGCATCTCATTATAACCAAAACAATATTAATAATAACCACTTAATTAGCACTCTCCACAGAAACACAAACAGAAAACTGTTGAGCAATACACATATGGAACACTCAGGTTACTGTTAGAGAAATTAATTTCCCAAAGGAATGCATGTAACATACTGAAGTATACTAAAGAACGCTTTATGCAAAGATATTTCTATACTTCTTTCACTTCAACATTTTACCCAGAAACAACAGACTTTAAAGTTGTGATATTAAGTGGGAAAAAAAACACTTTCTAAAGTAAACAATCATTTACAACACCAGAGCTGAGAGAACAAGGCCCGATTAATATCACAGGTTTAATCATTTATGAACTAAACTGCCCAAGGGGATAAAAAGCAACAACAGATATGCTAGTTCACAGCTCACTGCTGAGTAAAAGGGAAGCATAAAATCTCTGTTCCTCACTCAGGTCACAGGCTATCTGATCCTGCTTATTATAATGATGCTAATATTTTTTAGCTACCGTAAGTAAGGTAATTTGTACCGGATCTAAACAATTACCTGACATTTTCATATCAAACTGCAAAAGGAGATGAATATGAATAGAAAAAATGCCTGATGAAAGCAATATATAACAGACATATAGGGTTTCTACCTGTTCCAGAATTTAAATAAAACTAAAACCATATAAGTTTAGAACATGCTTACCCTTTCAATCAGCCTGTCCACAGGTATGTTTCTTTAGTCATCTATTACCTGAATGTTTGCTTAAAGCAGGAAGTTTTGAAGAAACTAACTGCTATCTATGATCATACACATGAGTTTCAACCAATACATAAGAGCGGATCTTGATTTAAAAGGTCAGTATCCTTAAAACAATATGGAGCTGAGAAACATGATAAAACAGATTTATAACTGCTATCATAAGCCATCATAAGCAATGGGGCAACAACAGGAATTCAAACAGAACTACATCTCGAGTCATTATTGGAGCCAGCTGATTTCTAATGAGCACCGCTAGCCTTATCCTTTCTTAACAAGGTCCGTTATGTGAAATTAGAAGTGCTGGCTTCAGCAATGCAGTTGAAGTTTCCTTGCACCAACCTCAGAAGGAGTAACATGTAAAGGCAGATTAGACTCCCACACATGTGTTGATGGCACAACTTCACCAAATTGCATTCAGCTGCCAGAGATTCGAGCTTATTATAAAGCAAACTGAGTTTCTAAAGAATGATGAGTCAAAAGTGAACCAAAATAAATTGTTACTGAAAAATACAAATGTGCAAGTTCTGTTAACTGTGTCCTTGCTTCCTGCACTCAGCAAGTGATAAAATCAAGACTAAAACAGGAGCCTTTCCAGTGGAGTTTCATGCACGCACAGTCACAGACTTACGTATTTCTGAAATACACAAAACAAGCAGGAGCTCGTAACTGTACGAACTGGGATATTTTAACATTCGGGCACAAGCTTTCCTGTGCAATTTGGGCTGAATAAAACACAGCCTTTGCTAGCACTGCCCTTTGCCTCAGATTCTGAATGCATGGGGAACCATTTTCAAAAATGTTAAAGTATGCAAAAAAAAATATAGTAACATATATAAAAATAGGAGGTGGGTGTGCACTTTCTGGGGTTTTCTTTTCAGAAATAAACGTGTTGGGAGCTCCGTGCAACACGCTGGGAGTAACGGGCCCGGGTCGGAGAACAGGGGGCACCCTGGCTCACCTGGTGCGTCTTGCTGTTGGCGTAGAGGAAGGCCAGACGGTAGAGGCTTTTGTAGTGCTGAGGGAAACGGCTGAGGCAGAGGAAAAGGGCCCGGACGCACATGTCCACCAGCACCCGCCGCTGCTCGGCCCGGTCCGAGGGCAGGCTCTGCGGCACCTCCGGCACCTCGGCGGCCGCCTCCCCCTTCTTCCTGGCCTCGTTCGCTGGGGTCACTGGGGTCACCGGGGTCAAGACAGCGGAGGGCTTGGCAGGATTTGCTGGCACTGTGGACAGCGCTGGATCAGAGGCAGCCTTTTGCCCTCCGAGTTCTGTCAATGAGACGGACAGGTCGTCCAGCACCTCAATTATGTTTCTGTTGTCCTGAAGGACATCTGTGGGTCTCTCACTTTTCTCTTCCAACACACCTGGAAAGAGTTTCACAGCATGCATCAGCCATGTTGCACTTACCCACTTTACTACAGCACAGCAAGACTTCTTACTAGCATTTCTTAAACATATCTGATTATTTATGCTGCTAGAATATTTATAAAGAAAAAGAAAAATAACTGGTCTTAACCTAAGGCATCCAGCTGGTGACAGCTCATTAACTCAAGCTGTTAAAATAAAATCCTTCAATGCCAGACAGAAAAGGCGGGTACCTGCTTCCTCCACTCTTTCCTGTCCTTCTTTCAGAGGCGTGGTGTTTTCCGACGAGGAGGCGCTCCCCTTCCCAGACAGCACCTTGCGGCTGCTTTCCTGGGAGCTGGCAGGGTCGGAGAAGGGGTCCTGGATGGAGTTGGAGTCGGACAGCATCACCACCATGCTGTCCTGGCTCCGTTCTGACAGGACAAAGACACACAAATGCACGTCATATAGCACTTGGCGGTCACCGGACTATGGCACATACAGTATGAAGCAGCACCATTGCTTTCTTTTGGAAACATCTTTCTCCCAATTCGAAACGGCTTTGAGTCCACACTCAGTTATGAGATAACAACAAGTTAAGCCTGGCTGCTCTGTAATTGTCAACATTAGGTTTTCAGAAGTATTCAACTGATGGTTTTCATTAAAATGTGGCCAACCGTGATTTCTTTCCTTACCGAACTGATATATCATTCTCGGTTTTATCTCGCAGATGGCTCGCTCAAGTATCCAAGGACTGGAGAGCACTGATTGCCCTGCAATCAGCTTTGAAGAGATATTACTTGAAGTCCAAAACCTGGTAAGCCTTCCTGCGAGTTTATAGTCAAATTCTGTACAGTGGGGACTAAAATGAGCAGATCTGCTACATGATAGGAAGCTTCACTGCAACCTCTTTCCTATCCACCCACATTTTTAGTTTAGGTACCATCTGATCATATTTTCAGTTATTGTTGTACATGGTTTACATCACACAGACACACCCCTTGTTATTGCAACATGTTGCCAGATGTGAGCAAAGCAAGGCAGTGTTTACTGTAATGTGTGTAGATTTTACAATAATCAGGCATTGTCTGGGTACGACTCCTGGGCTTGGTGCAAGGTACCAGCCAGGCATGGGGAAAAAAAGAGTTAGTAGATAGATACAGCACCTGAAATATACCTTAGAGGGAAGAAGAGTGTAAATTACCACCAAGAAGAAGACAGAAGAGAAAGAAGCTTTGCAACTTCATGTTTCAAGGCAAATAAACTTATAAAGGGCTTGGAAGTTACAATCACAAGTTAGCATTTGTTGTTTGATTTGATGTTCACCTGCATGCTCACACAAAGCACATCCACAACAGCTATACTGTGCCTGTGCCAGAAGGGAAATAACAGCTGCCGGACCAGCTCAATCCGTAACTTTACAAGAAAGAACACGAGTCTATATGCAATTGACCAAAACTTCCAAACTACTGGTTAAATAAAACCTAATATCCTACCTCTTTTGAAAATCTTCTTCAATGTATTAAGAGCTTTCTTCTTCTCATTTGAGTTCTTAAACTCCATTGTTTTACAGTTCTATGCTCTGTTTTACTGCTCTAATTCATACAGTACAAATTCTGTGAATTGATTTGAAGGTTGTGAACCACTTTGAAATGTTCTGCACATGCAATAAAATCTGGGCACATTCAATACAACTCTACCACATACAATAAAATGACTAAGTGGTGATGGAATAGTTAAACATTTAAGTCTAGTCTGACGATGTTAAGCGCCATACGTTAAATCACATCACAACTGCAGACATATCCAGTAGGGGAACAGGCTACCATTGTATAAACGTTAGGACTAGTTGCCACCATAGCTGGGCAATACTGCTCATGCAAAATATTCAGGCAGTGTTCGTTCTGTTTACATAGGCTTATATGCAAACAGAGCTTTAGTGCCAAACAGAGGTCAAACCCACCTCTGAGTGCAAACTCTCAGCTCTGCAAGCACAGAACGCTGACTGTGGCTGGCCACCTCTCAGCATTGCCAGTAAAAATGTGCAACGACTGGGACCGCAGTGGATGTGTAATACAGCCACGATCTGGACCAGAAATCTCCAGGCCCGGAGCAGGCCCCCCAATCAATGTCATTAAACAGCTTTGATGCTTTCAAAACATTAATCAAACACTGAAGGTCAGTAATTAAGCATCAGCTGGGACAGAGTTCTCTAACAGAATAAAAGAGTCAAAGTATCCCCGCCACTGGCTACGGTTAATTACTAATTCAGTTGTAAGCATTTCCCAATTAGAAAATCAGCTGTACAAGGCCAGGGAGGGAAACTAAACGTGTTTCAGGCACAGTGTTTTGTTTGGGAAAAAATGACTAAAGCAGCAAGGAGAACAAATCAAACAACACGATCCAGTGAAAAACCTTCTTACCCAGAGATTTCTTCTTCAGCATCAAACTGTATTTACGTTGGACCCGTCACCACTTAGTTAATGGAATTAAGGACTAATTAATGGAATTAAGGCTATTCCAATAAGCTATTCCACTTTTAGAAATAGCTTATTAATTTTTAACAAAGACAAAAAGGGAAACCACAACATTTCTTCAATTTTCGAACAAGTGAAAACAGTGAATATGTTTGAATACTAAATACTTTAATTACTTAATACTTTTTCATGCTGATAGACTACCTTTATTTCCTAAGAAGACAGAATTTTGGGGTTGCTTAACTGAACACACTGTGCATATAAAATACATGCATTGTCGCTACATTAATCTAACAGGCTAATTTTAATAAAGGTCACATAAAATGCAAAAACAATTGTCCTATCTGGCTCTGTCTATCTTAGATGATTTAAGTATAACATGATACTGACAGGTTCCAGGGATTTGTCCCTGTCCTGTGCCAAAGAGAAAGTTGACTGGGAACACCACTTCATTATGCGCCAGGAGAAGATCTGGTGACCTGGACTGGATAAATGTACCTATGAGCTGATCTATGTGAAAACAATACATATTACATCATGGATTTTAGAACATGAATAATGTTTATAGTATTCATAGGCTTAATAGTAAGAGCAATTTCATAAAAGAGAACAATAATAGAGAACAAATTTGATCAATGAGATTGATTGGAATTTAAATAAATCAAACGCACAGATTTTGCAATTTAACATCTGGTTTCTCGATGTTGACTAACAGAGGTCCAAGGTAAATAGCGATCACTTCACAGTGAATACAGTTCTATATTCCCGCTTTGAATAAAGCCCCCCTACTGCACCCACTGACATAAGCCATGTATCTGCAGAGCTGATCCAAACCACCAAGTGAGGTACGATGCATCACGATTCCTTTGCAGAGGCAAAACATTCTAAAGAAACTGCAACCTCAGCACGTAACACAATGTTCTGCAGACAATCACAAAACCAAGGACAGGAAAACAAGTTTTTTTTTTCTTTAATAGGAACACAAGGGAAATAATTCCTAGAAAAAAATCGAATTACTAAAATCTTGGCACCCAACGGTTAGGGAGAATTCTCCAGCAAGATACATGGTCTATTTTTGAGAGAAACAATTTGCCAATGCAGAGGAATTCGGCTGCACAGTTAAAAGGACAAACTGTACTTTTAGCTGACTGTTAAAAACGGAATAACTCCCTAACATGAAGTAAACTGATAGGATCATATCACAATGCAATGCAAAACAAAAAACATTGTATAGGTACAGTTTCAATCATACTGATCTTTAAGCTGCTCTTACTTAAATCAGAACTGCATACACCACCTTACCGGGCTTAGCACTTGGGACCATTTTTCATGTTTTACCATTTTTACCACCATTTTAGTAAGGGGCACTAAACCCCTAAATAACTATAAATCACAAGAGCCCCAAGATATGATTTTTTTAAAGTGCTGTCTGAAATAAAGACAATATAACTACTGAATTTTAACATTTTAAAATATCCCAATATCTAAAAAGAGGCAGTTTGTGCTTCACAAATGTATTCCCAACTTTTCAAGTGGTAATCCAAAGGAACAGTACCAGTCGCTGATGTCGGCCACTTTGAAAAGCTCGTCAGGAAGTAATCATGGTCAAATGCTGGAATGGCTGTAGATGATATTGGGAGTCTGCTTTAGCACAATATCAAAAGAAGCAAATCACAACATTCCAATAATGAGAACATCACTTCTTTAAAACCGACAGGTGAAGTGCAATGTTTCTGCTTGCTAGGAAATAGGCTTTCACCTGTAAAACAAGCATGGCAGAGATAAGTATGGTAGATGTACAAGACACCACTCAGAACATTAGCTTTCTATTATAATTTCATCCTTGGAGGCTATAATTGAAAAGCCCTACCCGCTCACCTGAGCCTGTTTGTATGCAATGGTTTTAAACATTTCTTTCATTGGGACTTCAGTGATTAAAAAGCAGGAAACAAAGAGTTAAACATCATTCCATCACCAGTAATATCGGGCTTCACGTAGTGTACCTCATAGACACAATGTTGTTCTGTTTTTATTTTCTGTCCAGCAGCCCTTACCTGCTTTTTGATGAGACACATCGGTGTATTAATCCTTAAGCAGTGACATTTGAATCTCATGAGCCTGTCTGGTGAGACAGTTATCATAACTAGAAACCATGCATCTCTGCAGTTCTAGCCTGGTTCATTTGCAAAGGGCTACAAGATGATGTTCACCAAGGAACATCCAAGCTATATAGCTCATGTATATTTATACATAATAAAATGATTAATTGATAGATCTGGAGACTTTTAAATGAGAGAACCAAAGAGCAAGATTTTTGAATCAGCAGTGTAAAGGGTACTTCAAGCACAAAAGTTAGGCCATTTTCCATCCCTGAGCTCTTTAGACAAAGACAGATGACAGAATACAAAGTGGACTGTAGGACACAGAATGTGTTTGCTTGGCATTCACCGCCATGGGACCCACATGCATACAAAATGATAAAGCAAGTTGTGTCAGAAGCAAGCAAGCAGAGAGTAAGCAGGCAGGCAGGTAGGTAGGTAGGAATCTGGAAAGGCTAAGTGTAATATAGGCAATATGGCTGCAATATAAAGACATTCAAGCTTTACAGGACAGGAAATACAAAAAGGAAGGAAAAAAAACAAGAGACCCGTGATTACATTCCTGTTGTGTTTAAATTGGGGACTAAGGATAGCATACCATTTTCAGAAAATAGCATGGTACTTTTCTGCGGTTCCATTTTGTTACACACTTAGCATTTACATTGAATTTATATTTGAGCAAACAGAATGTTACACTTTCATTAAAAAGAACTTTGAAGGCTTATTCAGTGGATGCTCTCCACACCACAATTTGGAGAAAAAAAAATTAAAATCCATGTCCTACAAAACCTTAAGGATAATGTTCCTGAAGAACATTTCCAGAACAACAGCGGCATGAACAGACTGCTAACATCTACAGTATATTCTCAATGAATATCTAGCAAGTGAAGCTGAAGAGCAGGCTTAGATTACTGCACAGTTCTGGCAGAGTGTAGCTTTAGAAAATGTGTATTATATAGACTGAGAAATGATATTGTTTAAAAAAAACTTTCAAAGTCACTTAAAGATTTAGTTTTATTTTCCCCAATGGTTTCCAATCTTTGAAACTTACTTTATCTGGCTATGAAAGAAGGATCAGAGGGCATAAAGTGAAACTCAAAATTGCTTCTTGAAAGAATCTATAGAACCAAAATGTAATGTTTTCATAGCTCTCCCAAAGACACCCACAGCTCCTTGTGAAATCTGTTGGTAACTGGTATACAAAAATCAAGTTTTCAACCTTTTAGCTCTTAAAATATTAGCAATGTTTCACCACTGCACTCTCAGTGATACAGCAATAATGCTAAGAACAAGTCTATAAAACCGAATGTCTGCTTAGCAATGAATAGTGCAATCTAAAGGCTTTTGTGGATAAAAAATACAAAAAACAAATGTTTAATAATCTCAGTTCATTGAAGGAACTTAAAACAAATCAATTACTAAGTTTTACAAGTAACAAAATGCAATAATGTACATCAAGGCAGAACTGATGCTTCAAGTGGGCAAAGGCCAGCTTCAAAAGGCTGCAGACTGGAAATACTGTATGTGCCTTTAGAAAAACTGCAGGCAAACCTGATGTGCTGCAATGGAGGTTTCTACCACCCTCCACTCTCTGCAGAGAAGAAAAACACATTTTGTGCGTGGCGCTGATGTAATACAGCTGTGCCGGGGTTATGTGCACACAACCTGTGTTACCTAGTTGTTACATGCTAAAAGGACGTCATGCTGCAACAGGAAAGCCCATGCAGAGCGACTGCTGGAGGTGGGGATGTGGAGATTGCACAGCAGGGACTCAGGAACTCTGCCGATGCTCACTGAATTGATTGGTGGGCAGAGTGTGAAATGTAAAATGTTACCTTGGAAATGAAAAATGTCCAGCACGTCCGCAGTAATCTAATAATCGGTATTTATCAAAACGGAATGGATGCTGAATGTCATCATAGGGCTTAAAGCAAGGCTTCCCAATCGTGGTCCTGATGACCCCAGTGTCGGCCGGATTTTGATCCAGCTTAATTGCTTGATCCTCCATTGCTTAATTGAGCACATTACTGAACAGATACTTTAACTACCTGGAACTATTATATGGACTGCAGTTCTTTAATCTACTGTTTGAAATCAAGCATCAAATGTTATACCTCTAATCTGATACATTTTAGCAGACAAAAGTGATAAACATTAAACTAGTTTAATTAAGGTTTTAATTAATAATGGAAATTCAGTTTATCTATAAACCAACACAACACTTCCACATGAACAAAATTCAAGGTAACCCCTTCTCTTCCATTCAATTCCATTGCAAGTCTTTGCAAGTCTTTCAAGTTAACTCTTTATTACTGATGTGATTTCCAGCAGTTGGGTTAACTAAGCAATTAAGGATTCAGTAACTAAAGCACTGATAAGTTCAGAGTTGAGTGACAGCATAGACTGGAAGAGTGAAGATTGCTCACTGAATGGGTACACTAGCCCCAAACTCCAATATACCACAGCTGAAGGAGGGCACAAGTTTCAACAGAAGGCTTGTTTACTAAGAACCAGAATAATAAACACAGACAAACAGGAGGGAAAATGAGTATCGGTGTTGACAAGCACTACATGCAGGTAGCAGGCATGTACATTAGACATTTCAAAACGTTAGTAGTAAACTTGAGTAAAGGACTGAAATGTTTATGTCCATTCATCACTGTCCTCATCTAAGGTACAGTATTGGCAGCAATAAAAGTTACACTTAGATATATTGCAGGAAATACACAATTTCATTTGAAAAAACTAACATTTTAATGCAGAGGACTACATTTTGGGAACCACTTTTCAGAAATATGTATATATTTCTAATGAGGGATTTTTTTTCCCTGAGTAATGAGTTTTACTCAAAACAAAGAGAATACACTTCAATTATTCAAAATCCCTAACAGTGTTTACAACATCTTGGCTACATCAAGCGCAGCAAAACCTAAATTCACCAGCTCCCCATGTACCCAAAAAAAGTTTAAATGGAGAGCAGATTAATTGAGGAGTGACAGCTGAATATATTTCTCTTCACATAAGAGTTGTGGATTATTTTTGCCTTTTAATATTATTTAATATTATTATTAGCTGTAGAAAATGTGTATTATATAGATTGAGAAATTATATTGTTTAAAAAAAACTTTCAAAGTCACTTAAAGAACAAGTTTTAGTTTTATTTTTCCCAATGGTTTCCAATCTTTGAAACTTACTTTATCTGGCTATGAAAGAAGGATCTCTTCTGAAGTGAAACTCAAAATTGTTGAGTAAATTGTACAGCAATCATATTTTTTGCCTTTTAATATTATTAAAGCAATTTTTAAAGTGGACTCTTTGGAAATTGTATGACACCAGGATCTCCTTTAACATTTTTGTTTGTTTCAAGGGCGCATATCAGATTGAAACAGTACAAGTAAAGTGCAGCTGTGATCATCTCAATCTACAAAGGCTATGTATTGATAACTGATATCGGTGGACTTCATTCCTGTTTTTTACAGGATGATGCTGACACTGTCTTGTGGGCGTGACCACGATTCATAATCGGAGTGACCTGGTGGGTGAAGTGCCCTCAGACTAAGGGACAAACCGACTCGCTCCTTCAACACCAGTATCACAAAAAGCAGGCTGCCGATCAACACTGGCCTGGAATTTCATTTAATTAGCAAAGCTTCAAATTATGCCAAGGCACTTCAACAATCAGACATCTTTCAGTTGTTTTTTTCTTCACTTCTGTCCTTGTCTCAAAATTAAATATTGAAGTAGCTATGTATTTAACTTTTGTAATAGTAACAGGCAAAGCAGTTGAATTTTTAACATTCGGCCATGCAGGAAAGCAAATCATACATTAAAACAAGTCCTTTTCTATTAAGAGGAAAGAGCGCCCCATAGAAAAGTGCTTTGCGGGTACAGTTATGAAGAATCACAAAAAAAGATTTATTGAGGATATTGGAATAGTGCTGTGTTATTATAATATGATATTACAGACTACATGATAATTCAAATTATTATGCTACAAAATCTTCATTGACCAGTATCTTCTTTATCTATACTTATTACTTCCTTATCGGTATAAACAGTAATATATACAAATATATACTGTATACAGTATATACAGTAAACCTTCGGTTTGGCACAGGAACAACTTTCATTGACCTAGCCAACTGTGTTTCGGGGTTCAAAAAACATCAGCCATGATTTAACAGATATTTGGCAATAACAGACACCCCTTCATCCCTATTAGTCCTTTAAACCAAGGAATTACTGTTTTTATACAGTATGTGTCCAGTCTTAAACAGTTTTTAAAAACCATGAACATTCTGATGACTGAGGAATTGTGATATTTTTTTTGAATGCGCAAGTTATTATTTAGACTATTCTCTTGACCATGTAGACTCAAATCCCTTCCGTGAAACAATATGGGGATTTCATTCCATTGAGTAGCAAGCCACGAACCGTCCTGCCAAGGCAAAACAAAACGAATGAGGCATCAAGCAGTCACCTCATTGCCATGAAACGAGGGTAATGCGGATAATGACAGTGG